GCTTTGCGGGACGGGAAAATATCATCAGATCGGAATGAAATTTTGCACAGAACCTTGTACCATAGTATCGACAAGAATTCCGACCCGGCCCGACGAATCCGACAAACTTTTTTTTTTGCCATGAAAATGTGGACCACCCTAATACCCACCCATGACTGATTGTGTGTGGTTTACTCCAGATGACCAACAAAGCGCGCACACACACACACACACACACACACACACACACACACATACATACCGATCTCTACCAATGATCGAAAGTCTCGTCTCCCAAGTAGAAGTCTAGCAGACATCAAATAATGAGATGATGAGACCTTTTGTGACTTTGGTGGGAAGGGGAAAATCAAGCTCAAAATTAACCCAATTTTCTTTGTGTATTGGGTTCAAGAATCGATTCTTTCTTCCACCCATAATCAAAATTCAACAAAAGACTGGCTTCGCCAGAAGTGAAATTGATTTAGCAATTGCTGTGATATCCTGGCAGTCTTGACAGATTTGGAGTGGTCAAATATTTCCCATTCAAGAAGTTACATGCCAAATAAATGTGTAAGTGCTGTAATTAAATGAAAGTAAATATTAGTTGTCTTGTTAAGTATCTATGAGAAGCTTGAGCATAACATTACCCTGAAGCACGTGACCGTAAAACCATTTTCGTTATTGGGCATTTAAAACACCGTGGTGCCATTCCCGCATTCTCACTTGTCTCAACAGTGAAGCTGGAGTTGCGATTTCAATTTATTCTATTGAAATAAGGATTATTTTGTGTTCAAGAGGGTGTTGTAATAGACTTCCACTTCCCCATTTCTTCATCCCCTTTGGGAGCAAAACATGTGCAAAACTTCTCTTACGGGCTTGGAATCTTGCAAGCAATGACTGCACTATGCAGAGGAGGATTTAGGAGCGTCTGCTGTGTCTAGCAAAGGCCTCAAAAGTGAACTGTCTATGTGACGCTGCAGTGAACAGACCGTCTGCAACCAGTGTCTCTTGGGGCAACTTGGTGGAAGATGCGGAAATGGATTTCCGTCCGCTGTTCAATCAGCTCTTTGAGGCGTATGGCAAGCCTTCCAATGTGGAGGACAATGCGGAGGATGCCGACTCAGACCTTCCCAAAGATAGTTGGAGGAGAATCACCAGGATACCTTCCCGCTGCTCTGGCTTTGCGACTTGTCCCTTGGAGTGGTGGAGGCCAAGGTGACTTAGGAGAATTGTGGGCTGTTGCACCCCATATGGTTTGCGAGGCTCTTTCCACTCATTGCAGATACAGTATGGCCGCCTCATGAGCATGGTTCCCCTTATCGATCAGACTCCCCTCACTCATTAGCAAGACCCCAAGATACTGAAACTCATCTTCGAGCCGGAGAGGGCACTGCACCCTTTTCTGACTGATCATTGCCTCAGGTTCGGAGGTGCAGATTTTCATCCCCAACTGCTTTCCACATGGCTGCGAACCTCTCCAGTGAGAGTTGGAGATGATACCTTGATGAAGCCAACAGAAGCACATCATCTGCAAAAAGCTGAAATGCAATACTGAGGCCACCAAAGCGGACACTTCACAATGCTTTGGGCTGTGCTTAAAAATTCTGTCCATTAAGTTTGACTTTTGTGAAGCAGACAATTTAGCTTCTCGGATTATTAGGACACACAAACACACTCCACCATGATAAAGTGACAGCTGATGGAGGGGATTATTATTTTACTTGTTACTTATTTAAAGTCTGTGAAATTGTAACAGTAACCTTTCTGTCTGCTTGAAATATGCTGTGGAATATATTATCTTGCAACAATCGAAAAGAGATTTAAGCAGATGGTTAATGTCATGATTTTTGCTTGGTTCCCAGCCATCCCTTCCTGTTCTTTACACACTGTCCAGTCAAGCGACTCATGAAGCTGTCCACCTCCTCTGCAGGATGCTGGTGTTTGATCCGGTGAGTTGTTTTACCCGACTAGATTGTATTTCATTATTCCTATAGTTTGTCAAAGGTCAGTGTTTTATTGTTCAAGATTCATTACCAACTTGTTTAGCGCTCAAACTACACTACAGTGCATTCAGGATCCACTTGTTGTTGTTAATTTTTTTATTTTAGGTTTTTATTTTTGTTTTTAGAATGTGTGACTCTCCAATCTTGTTCGTATGACTCTCCAACCTTGGTCTACTGGTTGCATGTTTAAATTGCTTGGAAAATATTGTCGCATAACCATTTTCTTTTGTGTCCAGAATCAAACTTGCGTTCGGGGAAAGTATGATGTGCATTCATAAAATTTTCAGATAACTAAGGACATTTTGTAGCCATAGCCTGTGTTTCCATCAATAACAATACAGCAGAGCAAAAGATGTGTGGGAACACTCAGTGACTTTAATGCAATTAGCATTTATTCATGTGTTTTTAAATGATATCGCCAGAAAAATTTGTGTGTACTTAATAATGAAGTGCACACTATGCTGATATTGACTCCTTTCTCAGGGGCTGAATATTTGATCAAAGGTGTAACCAAATATTTCAGGATGTGCACATTTACACAACCGCTGATTAAATTGTTATTGATTTAATTAATTCATTGTTGCTTATTATATTCTCCCATATTGAATTGGTATTGATATTTTTGCCATGTAAATTGACATGTAGGCATGTTATTTTTCAGGCTAGTGGTATTGGTGCTGATACAATATGTCTGCACTTGTACCTAAGGTAACCCCAAATCGATCCCTGCATGTCCATGGCAAAAACATCTTGCTCAAATATCCGTCTTTCAAATTTCAGTGGTACTTTCAGTCCCTACCCGTGGTGACTAGTGGATGAAAACCGAAACAGGTTTACAGCAGGTATTACAGAGAAGCTTCTCTTTAATTTAAAAAAAAAAAAAAAAATGCGAGTTCGAGTGCGGGTTCATTAATGTACGATATACAGCAAATGCACAACTGTTTCTAGTGATGAATTCACTTCTGTGGTAATACTTTCACTTTATACCTGAAACATATTATTACATACATAATTTCAAGTAACCTGTCTATTTGGTCCGCAGTCGAAGCGGATTTCAGCAAAGGATGCCCTGGCACACCCGTACCTGGATGAGGGTCGACTGCGCTACCACACATGCATGTGCAAATGCTGCTACACGATGTCCTCTGGCCGCGTTTACACAAGTGACTTTGAGCCTGTCACCAACCCCAAGTTTGATGATGGCTTTGAAAAGAATCTAAGCTCTGTGAGACAAGTCAAAGGTAAGCCCTGTTGCTTTTTCAGCACTGACGAACGACCTTGCCGACACACAAATATGGTTTAGTTGAGCAGAGCAAACAACGTTGAAAAATATGGTTCTCACTAAAAAAATGATCCAGTACAATCAAGAATGGAAACAGTATTTATTTGAATATAATGTTGAGACTTATATTGCTATGTTCCAGTGTGTGAATGGATGAACTGCATTTGGAAAATTATCTTATTCTAAATGTAAGAGAGTTGTCTTGTTTTTAACTGACTAATATTCCGTGGAATCGCACTTGAGCCCCATTGTTTCCCAGATATGTAAATTTTAAGGGCACATCCTGATGAATGTTTTCTTCCCCTGCTTTTTCAAAAGGTTTGATTTCAGCCATGCACTGAATTGAAATTGATAAGACCGCTGACAAGAGGGCGCTTGGATGAAAAGTAAATTGTATGCATCGAATGGTAGTCAATTATGCAGTACTGTTTAATGTGCCAAAATCAAATTGCATCTCTCTAAATTGAAAACGTCGAGATTTTAGTGTTTTTGTAAAAATAGTGTGAGTGAGTACAAATCAGTCCCTCATAAATTCAGATTTTAAACTTATTTTTTGTTATTCTGTGATCATTTTCCAGATTTTTTTTTTTCTTGTGTGGAATAATAATGCTCATTATGCCAGTCAGACTCGAGTTAAGATTTGCGGCTTCATCATCTTTGACAAAGAATCCCTCAATTCCGTAATCTCTGTTTATCTGGTTCCACCCCACAGAGATCATCCATCAGTTCATTTTGGAACAGCAAAAAGGGAGTCGAGTACCACTGTGCATCAACCCTCTGTCAGCTGCTTTCAAGAGTTTTATCAGGTGGGCACTACAATGACCATCTTTATAGTTAAATAGAGCAATAGGGCAGCTTCTAATGTAAACCTGCTTGTTGCCATAGAAAGAATTTCAAATTACCGTATTTCCTGCACTATAAGGCGCTTCAGATTATAAGGTACGCCTTCAATGAATGGCCTATTTCAAAACTGTTTACATATATGAGGCGCACCGCATCGTAAGGCGCATAGAATAGAAGCTACAATAATGGCTGCGGTTGTGCTATGCATAGATGGAGCTATGTGAAAGGAATACAATACAGCTTTATTTATATAGAGCAAAGCCATGCAGAACTGGTCACAAACACGGACATGAAACATATACTGTACATTCAAATGGCATTGCAAGACAATGAAAGAAAGACAAAGGTTATGAAGACAATTGATTCAACAAAAAGGCTCACATCCACAAGGGGCTAAATATCCTTCGAAGTATTGCTTGTCTCCTTCTTCCTTCGTTTCTTCAGTATTTACCTATGTTTTTGGTATTATCTCAGCTTCATTATGACTGCGCAGAACTCACAAAGTAATTGTGTGTTTGAGTGTGTGTTGGCAAATGCACATGTCAATTAGTGTTGGGCAGAACGCTTAAGGTTACAATTGGTTCCTGCTAATAATCACCATTAGATGGCATAGGAACACTAACAGGGAAACAACTCAATGGGGAATGTAACGAGACTGTGTAACACTGTACGTAAGGCACATCAGATTGTAGGGCGCACTGTCGACTTTTGAGAAAATGGCATGCTTTTAGGTGCGCCTTTATAGTGCCGAAAATACGGTAAATGTTTCGGAAAATTTAGTTTATTATGCTTCGTAGCGATGTCCCTACCATGTTTATTTACCAGAGTCTGTGTCACTTTATTCGAGTATCTGCCAATGCCATTTGAGTCATAATCTGAGAACGCTGTATAAAAAGAGCGTATCCAAATTGTCACACTTGTTTTATTGGTACCACGCGTAATCCCCAAAAATGAATCATTATCTTCTATGAAGTTCACTCACTTCCTCACACACATTGCACTGCCATGTAATTGATGCGGTAGCTCCTCTCGACAACTATCAATGATAACCACCACCTTTCCCAACAATGAGGCGATGACACAAATTTGTCTTTGAATGGCCTCATGCCAACATGGCCTCAATTGCCCTTTGTCACTCAGACCAACTTGAGACTAACAAAACGTACTCACCGCTTTGTGAAATTTCTAATACAAAAAGTCAACGATGCGATTATGTACTCGAGCGCTGACTTGAACTCAGGCCAGCTGTCAGGAAAATGGAAATAAACCTCCCACATTGATGTTTGTCAATTTAAAAGCAGCTCAGCTGTGAAATGTGTGCTATTAAGCCTCCCTGGCCCACGGACATAGCCAGGATACAGTATGCTTTGAAGTAATACACTTGTGCATTACTAATATTAACTTCACCCACTTCTTGCTTGCCATCTCAGTTCCACAGTGGCTCAGCCCTCCGAAATGCCTCCTTCGCCACTGGTGTGGGAATAGCTGCTGTAGTGAGTGCGGTCATCTTTGCCAACTGTGAAGATGCTAAAACGGAATCATGAAAGCGTCTCGATGTCTTCTGTCACCTGGGTAGTGTTTCACTGGAAAGCAGGGCTCTTCGTTCTGCTGGTCATATGCTAAAATATGAAGGAAACAAAAAAAAATCCATTCACTACTGCTAATGCGGGTGTATTAGAAGGTCGCAAATTTAGGGGGAAAATTACTTTGTAGACCAAATCAGAATGTGGCAAATGTCATGTGTCATCCACTAAGATTTAACATCACGCTGCTCTGTAATGAAGTCCATTTGTTTTTAATGTACATATTTGAAAAACGGATTTGTATTTTAAAAAATGTGCTTTTCATAAGATGTGATTGTGACTTTCCCCCTTGTGACAAGGCTTGTACTACTATAGCTGTCTTTTGGTCTCCACTGTTAAGTGAACCAAATTGGCATGAAACCCAACCTGATATTCAGACAATCGACTGTAGCTGCATCATCAGATTTTTTGGGGGGAACTTTTCTTAACAACAAAATGTTCCTCAGTACATTAATGAATTTACTGATACTGTACTCCTCCACACTTTTTTTTCTACTTGTAGTAAGTTTAATTACCAAAGATGATGAGACATACACTCAAGTAGTCAAAATATTCCGACTGTGTGCAAAATGGGTGTGTTCTTTAATATCAGGCCAATTTTGAAGTCAGCATTATGACAAAGAAGAAATATTTTTTTGGGCTACATCCTCAACGGTTTCAGAGGTCATTTTGATTAAGGGAATATCAAATTTGCAATTTCCAGAGACAGGAATGGAATTAATTTGAACATGTATGTGAGGTTTTCCACTCAAAATGTATTCATGTTGTCATGCATGCAATTTGAGAGATATATGCAAACCAATTTTCTGGGAGAGGCACTTAAAATTTGAATTGGTCAACCGCAGTTACACCAGTACGAGTCGGATAACACCAGAAAAAAACAGCCGAAGTTCTTCAATGTGTTAAGTCTTTTTAATTTTTTTTTTTTTTTT